CGTCTTAGAAGTTTCATTGGGATGATTGTACTCTTGTTGCAGATTGCTTTTACGTCACTTGTTTACCCGTCCTTGATACTCGCCTACATGGGACAAGCAGCTTATCTCTCTCAGCATCATGTTCAGGAAAGCGACGTATACAATATCGGGTTTTATGTATCTGTACCAGAGAAACTAAGATGGCCAGTTCTTGTGATCGCCATACTTGCTGCTGTTGTTGGAAGTCAAGCTATCATCACCGGAACATTTTCGATCATCAAACAATGCTCTGCATTGGGATGCTTCCCCAAAGTGAAGATTGTTCATACATCATCCAAAATCCACGGTCAGATTTACATCCCTGAGATCAACTGGATCTTGATGGTCCTCTGTTTAGCTGTCACCATCGGTTTCAGAGACACCAAGCGGTTGGGTAATGCTTCAGGTAATATAACACAATCATATTTTCTCTCTTTAGGTCAGGGTGTTCAATTTGGATTTCGGTTTGGTTAAGATCAGTTTGGTTTATATGAATTGAACACCTCAAATTCAATTTAAGAGTGTTCAATTTGGATAAACTTATCCAATCCAAACCGAACCGAAAAATTGAAACTTGGATTGAACACCTTACTTCATTACCATTGCTAACTAGCCGTTGATCATGTTTTTTCTTTAGGTTTGGCGGTTATAACCGTTATGTTGGTGACGACGTGCCTAATGTCACTAGTGATCGTACTCTGCTGGCACAAGAGCGTCGTCTTCGCAATCGCATTCGTCGTTTTCTTTGGCACAATTGAATCTCTCTACTTCTCGGCTTCCCTAATCAAATTCCTTGAAGGCGCGTGGGTCCCAATCGCCCTCTCCCTTTGCTTCCTAGCCTCGATGTGCACATGGCACTACGGAACCCTCAAGCGCTATGAGTTCGACGTCCAAAACAAAGTCTCTGTCAACTGGCTCCTCAGCCTCGGTCAAACTCTCGGGATTGCACGTGTCCGCGGCATTGGACTCATCCACACCGAGCTTGTCTCAGGTGTCCCTGCAATCTTCTCTCACTTCGTCACCAACCTCCCCGCCTTCCACCAGGTTCTCGTCTTCCTCTGCGTCAAATCCGTCCCGGTCCCGCATGTCCGTCCTGAGGAACGGTTTCTAGTCGGCCGAATCGGCCCAAAACAGTTCCGAATGTACCGTTGCATCGTACGCTATGGGTACCGCGATGTCCACAAAGATGACATCGAGTTTGAAGGTGATCTTGTTTGTAGCATCGCCGAGTTTATCCGTTCCGAAGCT